CGCCATTCAATTGCTAACGTTTTAATACTTTTTCGCAGTACACGATCGGCAGAAAAGACGGCCGATAAAAATTGCATTTAAATCGATCTCGAGCACATCCCTCTCTTCGTAAATCGAAGGGGTATCGAAGGGGTGCTCGAGCCTGTCCTTTATTAAAACTTAGCCGATTAGCGTTCCGCCAACTTTGATCGACATTGTGAGCGAAGGAGGGCTTGAGGAGGAATTAAATACAATGGAAGTATGTATTTATGGAAGGTAGTATTGGCGTGTGGAAAATTTACGGTGAAATAAATTTCTTTCTTCTCCTTTTTGATTTTTTAATTGATTAATATTTTCTTTCTTTTTTTTTTTTTCTTTTTAGAAACAAGTTAATTGATTGGGATTGAGGTTGGATTTAAATTGTATGCTTTATGAAAGAAGTATATAAAGTATATATAAAGGCCAAAGATTTATTTGCCAGGATGGAGAATGTTCATATTAGTATAATGATTGAGTAATAATTTTTCTGATACAAGTAGATATTCTGTCTATTTGTAATAATATTACTGTACTAAAATTATGTACTTAAATTATTTTTATTTAAAGAAGTACAAATTTTAAATATATATGTGCTGTTCACATAGAACAAAAATTATTATATTGCCATAAATTCTTAAACGGTTTATGGCATTTGATCATTAAATTCACATATTAATAATTTAAAGATTTCTATTTAAATTCTTGTTCGTTATTAGATGAATATTCGTCATACTGTTTTTTTTTACATCCTGTTGTACTACATATTTTTATATGAAAAAAAAAATCTTTTTAGATTTCATTCTCTCCCAATCAGCCACCCCAAATTTCGAACTGTACATGATCGTTTTACTAATACTTGGATAAATACTCTTTCTAATTTCCTCCACGAGCTTACGATCGTTATCGATGAGGCGTTATAAGATGGAGAAATACCAGAAAGCCATTCTTACATCTCCGATCTCCGATTTCATTAAATTTCTTTTAAATCACCCTCAAGAGGTTGAATTCCCTTCTTCTAGAATTAGTTTTCCTCGATTCTTGAAATATTTCTCGAAACCAGCCCAAGTCTCTCACATACCATGGATTGAATAACGCTTGAAAGTAACGCTGGGCTCATGATTAAAAGTAAAATAAGTTCAATAAATTCCTTTCCTTTTCCTATTCAAAAGGAATTGCATAACTTCTCCTTTTAATCGCGTATTTCTTTCTTTTTCAGATTTTCCAAGTTTATTGTTTCACATAAATGAAATAAAAGAAAGTTCCATTTCGTATAATTTATAAAAAATTAGAATCAAATTATCAAAAAATAAAAGAATTATTCTTCTTTTAATTTTTTTGAAATTAACAAGGCATCACATGCCAAAATAATTTTCGTATGAATTCACAAAAAACTTATACATAGTGTTCCATTAGAAATGAGATTATTAATCTCGATAGAAATTTATGGTTCATGTATTAACAATTGACTTTTGTATCTTGTAGGAACGATTCTCTTAGACAACCCTGGAACAATTCTAATAATTTCGTACACACAATTTTTCTAATAACAATGTTTTCACGTCATATTTCACGACAACGAAAACGCAAAATATATTTTCTCTTTGATACAAATACTCGTCATTGTCAGAAAGAAACATTTCCTTCCGAGGAGGAAATTTAAATTCTTGATAACTCCAACTTGATTACTCGTTGAAATATTTATATATAAGTCTTTGAAACATAGATTACGTAGACCATTGCGCTTTGTAAGAGTATACACCATTGTGAAATATTCAAATGACAGCTTTTTTTTTCATGGATAAAAAGAACAGAGTTTCTGGTAAGACTGGATTAAAAAAGTATATATTTTTATATTTATAATAATTTATATTTATAATATATTTATAATATATATATAATCCTTCAGATATTATAAAATATAAAAATGTTGATATGGTAATTATTAAATAATGTTTTAATTTTTAATAAGGAACTCAATTAAAACATATCAAGTTTTATAAATTAAATTATATACAAACCGATATTATACATATTATATTTAAAAGATCGATTATATTTCAAAAAAATTTTTCATTTCACTTTTCACACACTCGCAAAAAGAATAACAGAAACAGAATAAAATTGGCTGAAACGCGCATTGAAAGCGCGCAATGGCTCTCCTCCAAAAATTGTTCAGCGAAACAAATATTCAAAATATATGAAGGAAATTGTTCAGACGACATAATGGCACATTGATTCGATGAATGGGTGGAAAACCGGTACTCGCGCAATTTATGTCCAGCGAAGAAGGAATTTCCGAAAATTCCATTAACCATTTAATTCCATGCAAAGTGAACATTAAAACGCGGACTAAATTCCTTTCGGCAAACAGACGGGCAACCTCTTTTCCCGGCTAAAACCGTAATCACGTTTATACGGCCGTGATCGTTCGCCTCGCGTCTAAAACGAATTCTCTTGCCAAGTTTTTCTTTTTTTCTGTCTCTCTCTCTCCCTCCCTCCCTTCTTTTTTCCTCTCTCTCTCATTTTTCCTTTCCTTTTTTCTTTCTCTTCTCCTTCTCCTTCTTCTTCTTCCTCTTCTTCTCGTTCTTTTTTCATCTCCCCTCGAAACACATGCAAATTAATCGCATTATCGATTAATCGAACAAACGAGCACGTTGTTCTCTCTCTCTTTCTCTCTCTCTGTTTTCCGGAAACACATCGAGAAATTGAAAATTTTGCTATAGGTAACAAAGAAAGGTTATAAACCGGGATCCAGGATAATTTATGGAAAAGGCATTCCGCCAAGATTTAAGGGTGAGTTTCGTGTTGCACTTGTAAATCTTCTTACGTGTTATATTGTTTTACTAAACTTGGATCGATTTATGGGAAAGCATTTTCTGAAAATATCGAAATTAAGAAGATTGATATTTAGAGATTCTTATTTTACGTTGTGTGTGTAAATTTTTTTATTCGTGTCATCATTGTATCTATCACTATATAATGAAAATTGTTTCGATTAAAAATTAATGGTTTCGAGAAGAGTAATATGATTATTTTTCGAATAGAATTACACGATTTTATATATATTACTTTACCATTTTCGTCTCGTACAATCATTGGAATTAAAATTTAGTTTTACGTTAAAATTTACCGATAATAAGTATTAATTAATAATTGATATTAACTACTAAGATTGGTCATACAATATCGTACAAAGGGTAAGTAGTACATATCAATCATTATCAGTCAGAGAGTAGTATAGATCGACTATAATATATTTTTAAATTTTGTAATATTAAAAATTCAATATTACAAAAAGATGGTAGCTTTTATCGTAAAAAATAAGATACAAAAGATAAGTGTCTTGTAAAATCTAGAATATTGTTAAAAAACGATTCAAAAAAGTGATGTATATAATATTTTACGAACAATTTGTTCAAATTGATCATTGCAAAACTTCCAGAATGCGAATACAGGTATTACGTTACTGGTAAAAGAGTTTTTGTTAAGATAATCGTTATTCCTTTGCAAAATTATTAAAATATAAATCCATTCTAAGATTTGTTCAATCAACAAATATCAAAGAGAAAAAATATCAAAGATGAAATTGGTTAAATCATGCGGTATTCGATAATTCAACGTCTGCAAACGTCTGAGCTCGAGGCAAAATTTCTACGATCCCAAAAGCTGCTCTTTTCCCTTTTAACAATCGTTCTTTCCATTCTCCTTCCTCCATCTCCCTTGTCATAAGATTTAATTTCATCCTGTGTTGCTTTTTCTTTTCGTTTTTAACGACCAGACGATACTCATTAGAAAACATTTTAGTTTTTACCTCGGTGCATTCTCTTTTACTTTTAATATCAAAATTTTTTTTATTCCTTTTCTATTTTTTTCTTTCTTTTTCTCTCTCTTTCTCTTTTTTGATAGAAATTCTACGAAAAAAAACGAGTCTTATCATTGGTCTGGATGGGATTAAGTATACTGGAAGAGAATTCGAACGTTGACAAACTGTATTCGAATCTTCTGATTTAATTTAATTTAATATTTTATTATTCAGAAATTCTGTTTATTGCCAGTAATTCTTCAGCAATTTTCCTAAATTTGTTGTAAGAACAACAAATATATTTATCTCTTACAATTACTTCTTATAAGAAATTCAATTCATTCTGGTATCAAGGTACTTATAACTAAATTTTCAAAACTGATGAATATTGGAACTCATTTTGAGTGTCATGTATTTTTTTTAATTAGAATAAAACCATGAGTATCAAATAAATATTTCATATTTATTACTTGAATTTATATTTAACAATTAAACTCGATCCCATCTAGCTACCATTTGGTCCTCGAATAAGAACGAAACATTGAAAAAAAGTCTGGATAAAAGAAAAAAATAGAGAATGAAGAACAGTTGACGAGTGGCGACGAAACGAAAAAAAAAAAAAAAGAAAGAAAGAAAAGAAAAAAAGACTGGAATCACAACTTGAACATCGAATGACTGGAACTTGAAAAAGGAGGACAAAAAGCTGTATAGCCCTTTCAACGTATCGTTCCACGATTCCGTCGTCGAAAGCCTTTGCACGATCGTTTTTCCCGCGTTTTTTTCCCGCTCTCTCATTCCTTCTACTTTCTTCGACCCCGTATTACTCTTGTTTCGAGCATTAATTTCTCTCTCGCTAGTTTCTACCTCTCGACTAACCTTTTTTTTCTGTCCAATAGATGCCATTTATCACGAATAAAAGCTATTATCGATACGGAAAATGCGTGAGTACAGATCAGCGAGGCGAAAATCAAGTAGTAATAAAATCAATAATAACAAAAATTGCACTGGAGGGTTGTTGAGTATAAGTAGAATCATTATTGTTAACTTATACTTGTGTAAAAGGTAAGTAAAAATTTTTATATTAATAAATAAATTAATGTAATAAATTAAGATAATGAAAAATAAAAAAATAAACAGAAGAATACTTTGATTACTTCGTGTTAAGAATAGGCTTCGATGATCGAGAAGAGAATCCTCGATTACGAAAATCTCAGATCACAGATTAATTATTGACCAGTTATATACATCACGATATATCCGTACGAATCAGAGAAAAATCGACGCTTGAATTTTGAAACGAAAAATCGTGCCCACGTGGACACGTCTCGACTCGATTTTCTCGACAGAACACGGAGGCGTTTCCACCGAACGGGCCTGTTTTCACGAAGACGATAAAGATCTTCGATAGTTGGGCCCATTAGCTGTACACTTTGTGAAAGAGTGACATAACATAAGGAAAAGGAAACCGGCTGAATCGAATGTGGGAGTAATCCTTGCATCGTGTAGGCCGATCCCAATTTCGTTCTTCTAATCGAATCACGTGACATCGATGTCCGTACGTCAATTTTTATATATATATATGTATATATATATTTCTTTAATCCTCTAATGTATCTTCTCTTTTAAAGAGGGATCGTTGAAGAATTTATCGTGTGCTTACGTTGTGGGATGAAAGTAATTACATTGAGGAAAGGAAATTTCCAAGAACGTAATTACGTGCTTGTTAGGTTTGATATTGTGGCGGAAGATTGTGGCGAAAGATAGGTTACTGGAGAAAAGGACAGACTTGAATCTTTCGGTTAGTTATTTTTGGTTACGATTCTTTCCTTCGTAAAATATTCTTTTATACGAGAAATTTCGTAAAAAGTAGGAAGAAATAATATCATACACATCTTACGATTCTTTCCCTTTGAAACTTGGATCTCAACTTTTTACTTGTATTATATTTTCCTTAAAAAAAAAAAAAAACAACTTCCTTATTTTTTCCTCAAAACGCTAAATTAAAACAATGTCGATCGTGCTATATAAGATTACATAAGCTTCGTTTATCCCGATATTAGATACGAGAAAACATTGTTTTCACAGATTCCCCGACGTACGACACGGTTTAAATAGAAATCGGCGATCCGGAATGGATATCCGGAAACCGAGGATCGACCGTGGTCAAACGGGTGTAATAACGTTTAAACAAATTCCGCGGTCCGGTCAATAATCAATTTGTCAGGCGCATCGATGAATCTGGCCAATCCTCTCCCTTTTTCCTTCGCGCGCTTGTGTGTGTGTGTGTGTGTGTGTAAGAGAGGGAGGTTATCGACAACCGCAAAATCGCACGCGCATCGCCGCCAATCGGATTTCGCGGTGGCCGCCCGTATTATTTGCATATCGGTTCCAGCGTTGGAAACAACGAGGCCGCTGACGGTGTTGCATCGACGAGATTGTGACGCGGAGAGGGAAGGAAAGGAGCGATGAATAAAATGAATGTGGAGCACGGGGAAAATAAAGCAGTCGGGTGTGTGTAGAGGCGCAGGTTTGGGGGAGGGATTAGAAGGAGGGGGTGGATGAATTTACGATACGTTGGAACGGTGACGTATTTTTTTTTTTTCTTTTTTTTTGCCGAGTCGAGTATCAATTTGCATAATGCGTGTGCACTTCGGCCGATTAATGCGAGACGTGGCTCGAATATTTTTTTCTTTTTCTTTTTTTTTTTTTTTCGAGCGTTAATTCGAATGTTCGTAGCGGGTGCTCGATTAATTTCGGCTAATAGGAGTGGAAAAATTTAAAGAGATATTAAGGGTATAATTGTGTGATTATTATTTTCTTGAGATCGGTTTTTCGATTTGATCGTGTTCTTTTAAGTTCAGTGGAGTAAGGCGAAAGATAATTTCTGTATTCCTTCTATTCTTTTGGAGTTTGTTATCAATTCAAATTATAAAGTATTGTTTAAAGAGATGAATTAAAATAGTAAGGAGTAAATTAAAAATAGTATATGATATAATATTATTATGGAGAAATTTATCGAAGAAGATAATTTTTATTAAAATTTTCGTACTAAAACTACGTTGTACATATTGTAAACTTGTCAACGATTATTTTACAATTTTCCTCGAAATAGTTCGTCGCGCCGTTTATCACCGTGAAATAAATAGAGTACGAAAAATAATACCAACGAATTTCACGGTTCATAAAAACTATTTTCTATCTACCCAAAAATGTATTACATCCGCCCACTTTCTCTCCAAAGAATATACTCCATAGAGTATAAATCGATTTTCCAGAACTTTCATCACATCAGCAGAAAAACAAGCCAGCCATCGATGAATTTCACTCGTAAAAAATTCTACGCCCACCGTGCAGAGAGCTGCAATTACTTCCACATACGTTTATTTTTTCATCTACTCTTTGAAATAAACGTTCAAAGAAAAGGTAACTGACTTTCAAAACTTCGCGATTCATTGTTACAACTGCATATAATGTTTCCCCCCATGTTTTTTGAGCTACGACTCTTTTATAATACTCGAATAAACTTATAATTATACAGGAAATGTTATATGTGTATTTTTGGATTTCTAAAACAAAGATTTTTATTTATTAAAATCTTTCCGTCTCTTAATCGACATTTACTTTCTCTAAATTCTTCCAACGATGGAGCAATTTATATAATTTAAAATTTATCTCGCCTTATTAAAAACTTATAATTAAACTGTAAGAATCAATGTCCTCCTCCTCAAAATACAATTAAAATCTTTTTTTTTTTTCCAACAATTTATTAATAAAGTCCACATAAGACGACTGTTAAAAATTATTCCATCGTCGAATAAAAATATATTTCTTCAACAGATCGAGAAACATATTAACAAATCGTTGTTCAAAATTATTACATTTCTCGTATCTCGGCCAGATTCGATGGAAATTGCCGATTTGATTCGATCGAAGACAGGACATTGCTCGTTGTAATTTTCCTTTCCTCTTTCTTTATTTGAATTATGAGATACCGATATCTGGAAAAAATGTCGTCTCGTCACGACAGGAAGAAGTCACTTTGCCGTCTTTCCGCTCCGTGTCTAATAGACCGTTTGACGCGTACACATCGTATAAATCGGCGGTATCACGTGAAAGTCGGTGGAGTTAGCGACGGTAATGTATAGGCCGGTGTTTGATTAATGAACGTGCCGTAAATTGATATCTCGACACGTACGAGCGGCTATTTTCGCTAAACATTTAGTTAAACATTTATTTCACTTTGTTATCGATGTAATTTTATCGTGATCGGTTTCTTAACGATTAGACGGTTGGTCTCGGTTTTTATTCTTTTTTTCTTTTTTTTTTTTTTTTTCCTGTTATTA